GGCTGAGCAGCTCTCTGGACTCCCTTGGCTTCTTCAATGACTGACAACTGTGTGAATACTACTGTATTTAATTAATAATGTAATTATTTGATTTTGAACTGAACACTCTCCAAACCTTGTATTTTAAGCTGAGCCTTTTTGTCTTTTTATTTGGTCAGAAGAGAGAGAACAGGCATCTTTTGAGGTTAATTTACTCTGCCAACTTTAAGCATTTGATTTAGAACATGAAGTGAGAACTTAGAACTGCCAAAATCTGTGCATGCTCTACTATACTCTGTAGGTGTCTATATAGTTAAAACCTGTGATTGTTGTCTACTTACTGTTATCAATTACGAGGTAAGATGGAATGTCTCTTAATTAACTTAATAACCTGGTAGGTACGTTTAGACACAGCTAATTAGAGCTTTTATGTAATTGGGGCTGTGATTAATAGACTATGAAGACTGTTTAATTTGTATTAGGTGCATGGACAGTCACAGGGAAATTGAATTTTGAGGCTATGTTGAATAACAAGTAGAGGACCTCAGGACAGCAAAACAGTGAACAATTATTCTCTTCATAAAGAATTAATATATTCAGTCACTAGTTATGTCCTGACATACAGGTGTTTTTCTTTTTCGTAGTTCACTCCTGTGACTTCCTCCTGCACTACTCCTCCCTCCGCAGGATCTTTCACGCTGTCATTAATGTGTGCATGAATCTCTGTTTTGGAAATATCGATAACTTCTTACAGTTAGCAGTCTAGCAATGTAGTTTACTAAAATTAATGATAACGTGAATTATACTGGAGCTTATTTCACCTTTCTGCCCCCCCCTTTTTTTTTTCCTTTCCTTCCCTCCTTCCACTAAGGGCGCATTCTGGGTGGGACAGAACCTAACTTGGGGCAATTCAGTGAGAAAGCAGCAGAAATGAACTTATTTACCCAACTGTTAGAATCATAGCATTGCTCATGTTGGAAAAGACCTTAAAAATTATCAAGACCAACCTCAACCTAACCAACCTACCCTAACTCTTAACAGCCCTCTGCTAAATCACATCCCTGAGCACCACATCCAAATGGTTTTTGAACACATCCAGGGATGGTGACTCAACCAACTCCCTGGGGAGCCTATTGCAGTGCTTAACAATCCTTTCTGTAAAGAAGTTTTTCCTGATATCCAACCTAAGTTTACCCTGGTGCAACTTGATGTAATTTCCCCTTGTCCTGTCACCGGTGAGAAGAAACCAACCCCGCTCTCGCTGTAAGCACCTTTCAGATATTGGAAGAGAGCAGTAAGGTCTCCCCTCAGCCTCCTTTTCCCCAGACTGAACAGCCCCCATTCCTTCAGTCTCTCCTCATAGGGCATATTCTCCAAGCCCTTCACAAGTCTTGCTGGGGATCTGTAGTAGTCTTGCAAGTTCCCTTTCACCTCTTTTCTGTGCATCTCCCACGACTCCAAAGGGAATTAATATCTACTGACCTTTGGACATGCTTCTTCACCTGTTAGGCAGCTGGAGGGGGAAGTCTGAGGGACTGCCACTGATAGAGAGGGCAAAAAGATGTAGAAAAAGACACGGAGTGAGAAGTTGTAGCAGTGGAAATAAGATAGGAGGAAAAGATGATGTGTGATGAGTTCATCTGGCATCCTGGAGACGCAGTCTGTTATAACTTTTTATTCACTATCATTAAGATACAATGTACATGGAAAGACATACTGTAAAGACAGTCAACCCTCTTGTTTTTTGAATTAGGTGAAATTGGGAAAAAAGGCAAAACACTTAATATTTTTAGAGGCATGTAAACATTTTGCAGTGCTTTTTTCATGCATAGTCAAAACTTCTCTCTTGAATTTTTCATAAGAAATGAATCCCAGCTTTAGTTATCTTGTGCCATTTTTATTCTGTTGTTAATGCAGAGGCGGCTTCATTGAGAATAGTTGGTCTGTTTTCTTATTTTTTTGGTTTTTTCTCTACTTAACATATTGTGAGTCAGATCAGACTGCTGCTATCAAGAAAGGAGCTTTATTTATTTATTTATTTACAAAGTAACTTGTACACTTCAGTTTTTCATTTAATACTTTCGCCATCTCTGACATAGTTTTTGAGCTATTTCAAACTTGTAAGAGTATATTTAGAGTACTATGGAGTACATTTGCTGTCTATTAGGCTGTTGTTTGAACAACAAATGAGAGCATCAACTGAGCTTCGGATAGTTCAAATGGAAGTTTAAGACAGTTTCTCTTTTAATAGGAAATGGTGCTATAGTGAGAATATCTTTACAGTAGGCTTTCCTTAACTATAGTGTACGCTTAACTGAGAAGAAAACAGGGTTTTTACCTAAAACGTGAGTGGAGTGCAAAGTACGGTTATTGGCTTTGTGAAGTTTTTGCTTTCCCTCCCTGCTGTGTCTTAACCAAACAACCAAAGACAGGCGAATAACTTATTTCCTGTTAACTGCCTACTTGCTAGGGATGACAAGAGTCTCATCTTTACAATTGTCATGGGCATCAACAGCATAGGTTGGAGCCTGGGTGAGTGGAGCTAGGTGCTTTGACATCACGTGAAGTAGCATAATGTTTTGGAATTGTATACTAATTTCATTTTATGAGAATTCCTCATAAAGAAAAAACTTTTTTTTTCCTTCTTGTGTATAATATTGGCTCAATTTGTGACTCCAGCTAGATAGAAATAACCTCTACCTAAAGGTCTTTTAATCTTATTGAGATTGCTGTCGCAGAATGGCTCTGATTAGCTGATGATGCTCTGGGACGCCACTGATCTGTAGATCACTGAGTTCCCTTTTTCAATGTAACAGTGAGTAAAAAACTGGTCCTGAGTAGTAGCTGATGTCATATCACCTTTCTGTGCAACTGTGTTTTTAAGTTTCGTTGTTATATCTCAGTTTAAATTTATTAAATCTGTTAGTTTTTTTTTTTTTTTAAAGACTTTTTTTTCCCTATAAAAAGTAGGCTAGCAATAGCAACAATCAAGTAGCATTGGTCATATATTGATGTGTAGATCTCTTCTTATCTTTTTTCAAGTTATATTTAATTTTGTAGTGTATTACCAACACCCACACATCTCTAAAGAAAATTAGTAGTATCAATGCATGTCTCTCAGTTCTTATTTAGTTTTTATTAGTCTACAGTAGAAAAATTAATTTTTCAGACCATAATTCAAATAAATGATTGAAATTGCATCTTACAGGTTACAGATTGACACTTTTTCTTTGGAAATAGAATCCTCTGCAGAGGAATTCCTAGTGCTATTGTGGTCCATTACAAGCACAAAATTGCATTTTTCCACTTGTCCCTAATTTTGCATTTTGACAGGGAAAAAAAGGAGGTTTGCTGTTACTGTTGCTAAGCAACAAAAAGATGAATTATTCCAACTTCTGGATTTTTCTTGTATGATGTGTGTTAGAAGGATTTTCCTACATTGGCGAAAGATAGTCTAGATGGAGTTATACGTTTTTGTTGCCTCTGCATGGTTGTTGTAAATCACACTGTTTTGTTTTCTGAAACTTAATTTCTCTTTCTGAAATGGAAAGCTTGTTTCTTTTTCATTTTTCACTTACACGTAATTTTTATATCACTACTTGAATTAAAAAAAAAAAAACAGAAAGCATTGTAAGACAGTAAGCTATAGTCCAAGTATTGCATACTATTACTTTTATTTACAAGTAAGTAGAATAATATAGTCCAGTTGGAAGTGACTTACAAAGGTTATTAAGTCCAACTGCCTGATCACTTAAGAGCTAATGAAACATTAAAGTACATTATTAAGGTATTATCCAAATGACCTCATGAAGAATAATAGGAATTTTGTTACAGTCATTCTAAAATTGTCTTCTTCCAACACAGTTGATTTTAATATCAAGTAACTACTGGTATTTGAAGAAAATTATTCATCAAATGATGTGTGAAAAAGATAGAAACTTAAGCGTATGGAAGTTCTGGTAAGATTTGTGCTTGAGGGTAGATTAGAGAATCAGAATGATTTTGAGTTGGAAGAAATCCTTGAAGATTATCTAGTCTGTGAATAGAATGATCTTTCACGAGGTTGGGTTTCTCTAGGCCCCATCCAACTCAGCTTTAAACTCTTCAAATGATGGAGCATCCACAGCTGCTTTGGACGAGCTGTTGCAGTTTTGTAATGCTCTCAGTAACTTGATCATTTTGTTCTTAATAGCCTAATTTTGATTTTTGTTTTTGTCCTGGTTTTATTGTAGGTTGATATGATATACTGACCTACACTTGCTAATTGATTTCCACTGAAGATGCAAGCCAATACAGTACCACATCTTCCTTCTAAATTCCTTATATGTCTAAGAAGCCAGGAAAGATCTTGAACAATAAAGAGGCTGCTTCTCCTTGTGCAATGATTTGAGGCCATTGTGTACAGCAACAATAAGAATGTGTCAATAAATACATGGGAGATTGGGTTTTGTATCCATGTCTGCAACAGTGTGATAACATAATTGCTTGTGGCTATGCAATATTTTTATTGCATAATAAGTTTTGGAGGATTTTTAAAAATAGATTTCTCTGTTTGTTTGGACCTCGGAGTTCACATATGTGAATGCATATTCACTGTTACATGTGACTTGTAAGCCAGCTTTCCTGATGTACTGACTTCCATGCAGAGGAAACCTGGCTATGTGGTCAGAGAAGAGCTACTCACTGCTCTGAAATGGTGCTGGCTCTGAAAGCTTGAGAGAACTCAGGTTCTCTCTGAGTAAATTCTATCATGTAGCAGGAGTCCAGCTGATTTGTGTAAATTATATCAGATGAGTAGTGATAAAAAGATGGAGATAATTTCAGATGTTAACACTTTGGGCAAATATAATAGTATTAGTTTAAAGACTGGTTTGTCTTCAAGCTAAGCTTGAAAAAAGCTGTTTATTTAAAAGCTGAAAAGAAGCTTTTTATTAATGGTTCTTTATGTCACTAAGTATAAGATTATGTACAGTATTCCTCTAATTTTATTTTTTTTATTGTTTTCTCTAAATTTTCTATAGGAGTTGATGACCAAGCTGATAACAGAGACACCTGACCAGCCAATCCCATTTTTAATTGATCATCTTCAGTCTAAACAAGGGAACCGTGGTCAGCTTCAGAGAACACTGTCTGGCTCTGCTGCCCTTTGGGCAGAGAGTGAAGCATCAGGTATGTTCTGTAAGGTGGGAAGAGCTACACTAATATCTTCCCACAGTTTTTGTGGGTTGTTTCTTGGATGCTTGTGTATTTACTGTGGAAGTGCTGCTCTGTGCTTTTGAGCATACAAATCCTGTTTGTTAATGAGAAACAGAATTTAATGTGCATAGACTAAGCTAGTAGAATCACAGAATGAATTATAGAACGTCACGGGTTGGAAGGGACCTTAACAAACATCCAGTTCCAAACCCAATAGATCAGGTCCATCCAAGCTAGCCCTGAATGCTTCTCTTTTAGTTTAAAACCATTCCTCATTGTCTTACCACTATTTACCTGTGTAAAAACTCAGTCTCCATCCTGTTTATAACCTCTCTTTTAATACTGAGAGATGTTGGGTTTTGTTGGATTTTTTTTTTTTTTGACGGTTTGTTTTGTTTTACTACAGTCATTTTTAACAAGCCATCATTCTAATATTCAATATGCTGTTATAACTTTGTGACCTCCACTGCAGATAATTTCTGATTTTAGGTTTAAAATAATAATAATTTGTGATTCCAAAGCATTTCTGAGAATGTTGGTTTTGCATGTAAAAATTGACTGGTTATCTGTTTCAGACTATAAATGATCTCCAGCAGTTGTTTGTAGTCAACTGCCTGACAAGTTAACTATTTATATCAATTTTAACATTTTAGATATAGACTGTTAAATGTTATGATACAGAGGTTAATGACCTCTTCATCAAAAAAAAAGAAAAGTATGTTTTGAAATAAAAGGACGTTAAGGGATTTCTCAGTTTTAGTGTTTAGGAAAACAAAAAAATATATGGAATTTAGCAAAAATCAGGAAAAGTAGTGCTAAAAGAACTGTCTGTGATTTCCATTGATAAGACTAGGAATTTCTGAATTAATTGTTTATGGTCTCTTTGGAAAATGACCCTGTGAAGATTATAATTGCTGGATTTTATTCTTCAAACAGAAAACAAAGGAACAAGGAGAGATTTCAGAAGTTATGATAAGCCTTGGCAGGTAAATGCAAAGAAGCCTAAAAAGTCAAAGAGTGACCTTGCCGTATCCAATATCTCTCCACCGTCACCGGAGTCCAAGTCATGTAAGGTTCACTACATTATAAGCTTGTGCACATTTCTAAACTCATAGTCTGAGTTTCATCTCATTAGGTTTTTCTTTACATTAGGTTTAGAAAGGAAAGCAAACTGTGAGCAGTTGAAATGAGAGAGAGACATATTAGCAGAGTTTGAATCTTGCTTCACTTTCATATGCATTATGAATTTGTAATTATATCCTATATTTTCATCTAGCTTCAAAATTATATTTTATTCTAGCTTTTTATAGTTTTTTATTTATCATGTCCAAAACTTTTAAGTACCTTTGAGTTTAATGAAGTGTCCCAAATGGTAAATGTATTTAGTAATAGAAAGCTTGCTGGTTTTCCTCTGAAGAGCAAGATGTGGAAGTCTAGAATTCAGTTGACTTAATGGAAAATATCCCAGTGACCACAGAATGTCAAAATCAAAGGTAAACAGATATTCAAGAAGTGGACGTCACTCATAATCTACAGTCTTTGCAGGGTAACAACAGTTTATAGAAGCAATGGCCAAGAGTGTACTTCTGTCCTTTTTTTTAAATTACCCCTGCAAATATATCTGTGTGACTTTTAAAATATGTTAAGCACATCATTAATTTTTTTGTGCTTTTGAATTACATTTTAAGTGCTATTGCAGAGGGTAGTTTCAGCTATGTGCCTTCTTGTGATATCTTGCTTCTCTTATTTTCTGCCAACAAACAAATTAATAGTGACCTTTTTTCTGGATTTGTGCCAAAATTAGTGAGCACTCTGTGCTCCTTCAATCACTTGGATCAGTGGAAAGCAAGCATGTTCAGCAGCAATTCATTACTCTATCCAGACTTCCCACCTGTGATGCATTTTCAGCTTGTAATTTAAGATGTTTTTAGTGTCGCTGTAAGTTGCTTTTTGTGTTTGTTTTTTTTTTGTTTTTTCAAAAGCTCTTCAAAGAGGCAGTAAGGACTTTAACTAAGAAATAATATGGGGGCCTATTGAAAGCCAAAGTTTTGCTTTCAGATTTGTGTAAAATACCAGAAGACCCCTCAGCCATCTCACTTTCCCTACAAGAACACACCTTACAGCATACCTTCCCCTCCCCAAATAAAATCAGCCCAAAATTAAATGGAATCCATCACTTGTAACATATTCTGTTTCAGAACTTTTGTCTAAGGACTGTCTTTTTCAAATGATCCAGAACTTTTAACTTGATGAAATGATAGAGTCATAGAATGACTTGGATTGGAAGAGACCTTAAAGACAACAACACCCTGTCATGGGCAGGATTCACAGCCTCAGGATAAGGCTACCCAGGGCCCCATCCATCCTGGCTTTGAAGACCTCTAATGGTGGGGTACCCACAGCTTCTCTGGGCAGCCCTGTTCCAGTGTCTTACCACTCTCTGAGTAAAAAAATTTCTTCTCATATATAGTCTAAATCTCCCCATTTTATTTTAAAACTGTACCCCCCTTGTTCTATCACTATCTGTCCATGTGAAAAGTTGATCTCCCTTCTGTTTATAAGCTCCCATTTAATACTGGAAGGATACAGTGAGATCTCCCTAGGGCCTTCTCTTCCCCAGACAAAACAAGTCCAGCTCTCTCAGCCTCCTTTCGTCGGAGAGGTGCTCCAGCCCTCTCGTCATCTTCATGGCCCTCCTTTTAACCTGCTCCAGAAGCACCACATCTTGTGCTCAGGCCCCAAGCCTGGACTCAGTACTCCTAATGGGGCCTTATGAGAGCAGAGTACAGGAGGATATTCACCTCTCTTGCCTCTTTTGATGCAACCCAGGATGTAGTTGACCTTCCAGGCTGCAAATGTACTGAGGGCGCAGTTCATGGTAATCTTTGGAAATATCATCAGGAGATTATATTTAGTTAGTTAGAGAATATCGTTTCTTTCTGCAAAGCTGATGTTGAATTCAGAGTTGATGTTATTCTTGCACAGATCTCTCTTCCTTAAACTTTCAACTTTCTTTTTTACTAGAAAGGTTCTTCCAGTTCTTTCTGGCTGTCAGCTATCTCTGTCATACCTGAAACAAACACACGAATGGGAACTTTGGTGCCATAGCGGTCTGAATACTTGTTTGCAAAAATGTGCCTGGGCTTCTGTTGTTGTCTGGCAAGAGAAGAGGTTTGAAGCTAGGCTGTGTGTGTGTGCGCGTGTACGTGAGTGCCTGTTCAATGGAATATCTGGATGATCACATCCAGTATTTGAAGAATAATCAATTTTGAAGTTTCTAAGTAGTTAGTGAAAGAGACTTCTTGCTATCCAGTTAACTACTGTTAGGCAAAGTAGGTTGATGTCTTTGCCAGCTTCGTGTTAAATCTGTTCACAAGTCATTCTTTCCCTCTACTTCAGCTCACTGTTCTCTTTCAGGTTTCTGTTGGTGTTATATATTCCTAATTGCCAATTTTCTGTCTAGTACTACAGGCCTTTATGCTCTTAGTCTTCTAGTATCCAGATATTGGAAGAACTGTAATCTGAAAGATCTTGCGAGATTTCAATGCCTGAGCAATTTTATGTTCAATAATATCTGCATTTTTGTTCTTTGGGATGTAAGAGTAGTATACAATGTGTTAATGAAATGTAGCTCCTAGTCTAGGAAGGGCTTTTTTCCTACAATGAGCAGTTGTGTGCATGAATATGTGGCCTGGTGCCTTGTGATAGGTATAACTTTCCCATGGGGAGATTTAATGGAGGATTTAATGAACAACTAGTCTAATTTCATCTGGAAATTATGTTTTGAAAATACAAGTATGTGTAGGAAAAAACAAGACCGAAACAATACTGGTCACCTACTACAATGAAAATGGTCAGCTGATATGACAGAAATTATAACAAACTTAGAAATGAATCTGTTGTTGATGTGCATTTGTTGGGGGATTTGTATGTGGAGAGGAGGTGAATGGAGGACAACACCAGAAAAGCAGAAATACAGGGAAGCATGTTTTTGCTGTCTCCTAAGATGAGATGGGAAAAGGGAAAGAGGTAGGGAAAAGCTAAATATTTCTACACAAATGCTATGAGTAGATGTCATGGATCTTCTACATGATAATCAAATAATCTCAAGAGTAAGTATATGAACGTCTCAATGCAAATGAGTTGAGGCAGGTGATGTGATGAAAGATTTAAAATTAAAAATTATGACATGAATTTGAGGAATGAGTAAGTATATTAAAGGAAGAAAGTTGGAATGTAATGAATGGATTTTGATAAATGTGAAATGAGATACATATGAAATGAAATATGATGAACTTTGTAAAGGAAAAGATGCATTTCAAACGATCTCAGGGAAGGGTCATTATAGTGTTTATGTGGTTCTGCATGCTTCACATAAAGCCATCTGCTTTGAAAAGGCTGTTTTTGTTGATCCTGTTGTTGGAATGGTACAGGTTCACATTTTCAAAGCATTTAGCAGAACATGAGTCTTGAAAGGAGAGATGCTTGTCACATAATGTAACAAAGGAGGTTTTAATTTTAGTCTTCAATCATTTCTTGGATGAGTAAGTAGGTAAAAAGAAATAAGTCTTCTACAAGTAACAGAAATTTTTAATTCTGCTGTCTTCTTCCTCAGTTTTGTCTTAATAAAGTAAGTTAATGAAACAGAAGTGTTCCGTAATGTGTCTGTTTTGGATACATTTTCACTCAAGTACTGACAATGGTTCATTAATATACAGACTGTGCTAACCAACAGAGAAAATTTCTGCTAGGTTTTTGACTGCTTTCCCAGTATCCATCCCAGTATCCATCAGGGAGATGCAGAACAGTCGAAGATTCTGGTGATTGTAGGGCATTTCTCTGAAACTGGAGACCACATCAAACTAGGAACTGATTCATTCTATCCAAGGCAAAAGTCTTGAAACTCTCCTGTTCCTGATGCAGGTCGTCCACATACCAAACGATTGCTGATCCTTAGAAGCTTCACAGCTGTTGAGTGGAAATGGTTTTTGTTTCTTTCAGCACCTCTTGTGGATCTCATGACAGATTTTATTTAGAAATTATATTGTTTCTCAAAAAATTCTGCCCTTATGGATTTTGAAAAATATGATTAATTAGAAAATGACATGATAGCATATTCCAACCTGTTGCAATTTCTTGCAGCCTGGAAGCTCTAAGCCTTGGATATCTTTGTTCATGCTTTTACAATATGAAATTGTTCTCCATTGTATTTCGGTGGTAATGTGAGGTTTCTGTGCTACAGTGAGTTTGTTGTAGTGTTGTAAATGGAAAGAAAAATCTGTCAGTATGGTAGTAAGTTAGTAAGTGATGCTGTAGAATATGTTGTTGGTACAGTGAAGGGTGATGGGGGAAAAAGCAGGCAATTAAAGTGCATAGGATCTCCGTGTGAACCTAAGGAGTAAAAATGGAGCTAACTTGTAGAATTTCTGTGAAAGTTTACTAGATATTTCTATTTGGTGTTAACAGAACTACAGAAAATTTAGAAAAAAATACTAGAAGTAAAATTTTGTTTTCTGCAAAATAAAGAAAAATGAGAAACACTGAAATTGTGCTACTTAGTTGAAGTTATGTATGAATAGAGGAAAATTTTGATCACACAAAAATTTACATGAATTCTAATATGCACGATCCCTTCTAAAACGGGAAATAAAGAATTAGCTTTTGAAAGTAGTAACAAAAACTGTAAGCTGCCATCTAACAGGCCTAGTACATTAAGGCCTCTGTTTGTTACTAGAAATGACCACAGTTCATTAATTCCCTCTCTCAGAATTCCTTTTCAGAAATACGTGACTCTTTGAACACAAAGGAGAATGAGGCTGACATTTTTCACGCCAACTTTCCTCTCTCTTCTCCTTCTCCTTCTCGAGACTTCCTGTGTTTTTTTCCTCATAGTCTGTTTTTTCTATGTCTTCTCTCTTTGAGAATGTCTGTAATTGCAGTCTAATGTATCTGTAAGACTTAACAAGGTTCCTGAGTGGGAGTTACAGATCAGAATAAACCCTGGGTTTTCAGACTCTATGTAGATGTCCAGTTCATAGATAATTTCATGTGTGCCTATGGGAGATAGAATCATATTTAAAAAAAAAAAAAAATATTTTTGTGACATCTGGGGAACATTGTGCCTTTTCCTTACCTGGCATTTGGCTTAACCTCAACTTTACCTTGTGGAGTTGATCCAGAGTGGAGCACATTCTGTATACATCCAGAGAGCAGGGAGCACTAAGGCAAATTTGAATGTCATCAGTTATTTAAAACATTTTGTACTAGCTACCGAAGCTTAACGTCTGAGATAAATTTCCCCATACCATTATAAAAACACTTTGAAATTGCCAATGATCATGAGATACCTTTGGTGTTTTTTTCACACGGTCTTTAGGAGTCTGCAAGTTTTCTTTGTAGTGATTAATGAAAATGATGTTTGTAATCATAAATTAGTTAACAGCTATCAATATTGAAAATTAATATTTCAAAGCTGGCCAGCAGGCATTGAATGTATCTTTGTGCGCTCTGTTTTTGAAGTTATTCTTAGGGGAGTAGCGATCAACCACTGATAAATGCAGCTGGTTCTTTATGTTGTGAATGTAAACTAAACGTAATCATCTTCACAGCAGTGTGTGTGCTTCTCAGCATGGCAATGCTGTGTTTGGAAACAACCCGACAATTGCTTTTAGTTCAGAAGTCAGTAGATCCAGAGACATTCTTTTTGTTCTCATTTCTGAAAGTTGTTCAGCTGAAAAACTTCTTTTGAATTTTAGTCAAAGGTTTCAGTAGTAATTAACATGTAGAAAACTGAATTTTGGACTGAATTTCCCAAAGATTAAGTTTATTTTCTGTAAGTTTCAGAATTTTTATTATTTTTTAATTGTTAGCATTGATTATTGCTGATTGCCAATTAATTCAGTCATAGTCATCCAGAGTATGTATTTGCTCACAGGTGTTTTCACTTTTATTTCACGTTGACCAAAGAAAATATTTCCAGCTGTTAAGTAAGAGGATAATTAAACAGTTTCCACTCAAGATTCTTGAGCTTGTAAACACATTGTACAGCTATTTTTTTTTCCTGTAGGAGTCTGAACTACCAAATCTAAACTTCATGTATATATCTGTGTATATTTAGTGCCAAGGTCAATAGAGCATCCTAAGTGGGATTGGAGGACAAAACCGGAGAACCATGATTTTGATGAGCTAAATCATATTCTTCAAGAGAGCAAAAAACTTGGAAAAGCCCTTGAGAATCTTTCTCGCAGTAAGTTGAATGATTTTAGTTTTTTAATGTAACCATGCAGCCTAAATTGTAATCTGGAAGCATAAATATCAAGAAGGTGATCTCCTATCCTATTGAGAGTAAGTTCACTCACATTTGCAGTTGGATTCTGGTTGAGGAGGTTTGCAGAATGTCTGAGGCAATGTAGCAGCTTTCCTACTTCCTGAAACTACTTCCCCTTCACCTTTTTTTTTTTTTTTTTTTTTTTTTGGTTGTTTTTGCCTTTAATTTCTGCCAGCTTAGTGAGTTGAATTAGCTCATAAAGAGATAAAACACAAGAACCTGTTTTAAGGAAAATGGCAGGAATGTGTGGTAGTGTACTGCTGTACAGCAGTGTACATGCAGCAGCTACTCCTGTAGAGGTTAATGGATAGGATAACCGTTTGTGAAACCTTAAATGCGTTGGAGATGGAGATCAGACCTGTTATTGAAAAACAGTGTTTCATGGCCTTGATCCTAATTAGTTCCTTACAATTTTCAGAAGCATTTCAGGTAGTTTAAATAGATACTTAGAAACTTGGTAACCTATGGCTTCATCAACAAGAACCTAAGGATTGTTCCTCAAGAGACATAGTGAAACAGAAGCAATGTTTACAAATAGCATGCCCATAGAAGGAATAGCTCAGAAATAAGATGCTAGGTTGAATTACCTTGATGGAAGCAAATCCTGCTAGCAGTTATCAAAGTGTGAAATGTACTCCGCTAAGGTGCATGAGAACTATGTATGATATGATCTGGGAGACATTTGAATGACAACTACTTGGCTTCTTCTTTCATTAAGTTTTATCCCTGTCACTTCTTGATTCGGTGAAGAAATTGCAGATGATGTCAGAAGAAGAGATGAATGAAAAATAGAAAATCTGTCTTGTAAATAATTTTGAGAATTTTTTTTTTCCTATTTTGGGTCAAAACTAAAACTAGCTTGCCCAGATGCCCTCTCCTGCTCGTGCTTTAGCTTGATCGCATGAATTATAGCTTGAGAATTTTTCCTATTTATATTAACTGGAGTAGTATTGTTACAGGACTCTTCAAATACATTTCCCATTAGCTACTCTGTCTGCATTTTCTCCTCTAAGGAGCTGAAACTCTTCCTGACTTGGTCTCTGATTTGCAGCCCCACCATTGCTTGACAGTACTACTGTGATGTGTCTGGCAATTTCAAACCTTTGTCCTTGTAACCAGGAGTAACACAGATAACGCAGATTCAGAAACAACTTATTTTCAGTTTCACAGAGGGCTATTTATTTACTGTCCCGAAATACGTGATCAGACATGAGAATTCAGTAATAAAATACAAATCTCTTTTCAGTCCTACATCTTTTGTCTTTCCTTCTGAGTGTTGTGTAGCTTCTAATAAACTTCTGCTTTCTCATATCTAACATGTACTTAGCAGCATTCTGTGCCTCTTTTTTTCCCAAAGAGTTTTGTAGCAGGAGTTTTCTAATACTGCACCTCTTCAGAGTCCTGTGCTTGGGCTGGAGGTGAATATACCTGGTCAATATTGTTGGAATCAGGTTTTTGTAGTTATTTCACAGATGATACATTCTTCATTAATTCTTGCTAGTACTTGATGTTTTCTGATGATTTGCCAAGGTAATGCAGACTTTTTGTCTTACCCCCCCAGAGTGCTTTAATTCACTTGCAACCTGATGTAACGTTCACTTTCATAAATGTACTTTCTGTTTCTTCATCCAGATCATTACTGGAAATATTTTCAGACTACTTCATGATTCCATTTCAGATCTGACAACCAGCCCTTGAAAGCTACTCAGTAAGTAGTAAGTTTTCCCACCAGATGTTATCTGCCTAGCAGTGATTACACCTAGAATGTAATTCTCTGATTTGGCTATCATCTAGGATAGCAAAAAAGTCTTATAATAGCTTAAGTATTTTACTACTTCTTCCTCTTATCCACTAGGCAAGTTTCCGAGTTGAGAAAGCACTTAGATTGATTTGGCATGACTTGTTCTTGAGTAATTCATGTCAGCTGGTTCTTATCACCTTCCCTATCCATTAGAGGTCCATAAACTGTTTATTTAACAATTTTGTCAAATATTTTTGCTGCTATCACCTGTAGGCTGGCTGGTTAGTAATTCCTCTTCTTTCCTTTTTGTTTTCTAAATAAAGATGTGGTGTTTCCCCTTTCCTGTCCTCGATTCCTGAAAGACAGTTGGTAATAGTTCTGGGATTTCTTTGGCTAGTTTGGTAGGTACTCTAGCATGAACATCACAAGATTCTGCCAACTTGAATGTATCTGAACTACCAAAATATCTTTCAGCTTTCCCTCATCTGGCCTGTAATTCACCCATCTTAGAATTACTGTCATTAGGAACTTGTGACTATGATCTTTTATTGTAAGGATTGAAGCAGTGGAAGTAGTAGATATCGAGATTTCTTTGTATCATCCATTATTTGTTTCCCTTATCTTTGATGTAGTAGTTCTGCATTTTACTTTGTCCTCCTCTCCTAATGTATTTATAGTACATTTTCTTGTGAATTTATTTTTGTTCTTTGATAAGTTGTTATTCATTTTCACTTTAGGCTTTTTGGCTGTATCATTTAAACACTTGTGTCAGATTAATTCTCAACTATATGTCCTGTTTTCAATATCTGTGCTTCCCATTTTCACGTTATTTCAGGAAATAACTCCGCTCTGTGCTGTGATTTCTTCCATATTAGGATGATACAAAATAAAGATTCAAAATGAAATACATGAAATTTTTGGAAAAAAAGAAGAGAGATAATTTTAAAAATGAATCTGGTCTTATGGTTTCTTTACGGGGAACTGAAATTACATTTAGCAAATATCTCCGAAGGATTCAATGAAGAGACATATCTAGAGCATTACAAGTTAAAGATGTGAAACTCATCCTGCTCTGGGCTCGATTATCCCTTATGGTGAATTTTTTAAGAGCTGAGAGAGGTTTCTACAGCTACTTTCTTCAGTGTTACTGCTTGCTTTGCGCATGCTACTCAATGCTTTGGATTGTTACAGGCATGTCCATAAAGTCTGTAAATCTAATGCTGCATTAGATACTAACCTTGTTTCCAAGCAGTATGTGGCAGGCAGTGGAGTGGGCTCAATAAATAACTAGTTGAGTGTGCAAATGGATCACAACATACTATCAGTGGCTTTTTACAACGCATTTAATTTTTCAGTACTTTTAACAGGGAGAAGCGCCACATGAAGTTGAATGTGTGAAGTTAAATGATTTTTTCCATCAAGTTCTGGAATTCATTTCAGAATGAAATTTTAAAGAAATGCTTTGGATCTTATAGTGTATTCTAGGACTCTACGGACTTCACTGCCTCCTATACAACTGACACAGGCTATGAATTAAACTCTTGTTTAGATTGCTTTATTTATTGTTAAATCTCAGCTTTGAGAGAAACCTGTACATTTCACACAAAATCTTCATCCTCCTAAGTCCTGTCAAGATAACATATGAGTAATTTTGTGTTCCAGTACATCCAGAAAAACCCACAACAGTGAATTCACACCTAATGCTAAAGATATGTTGAAAGACTGGAAGATAATATTGCCATTGTTACAGTCTATATGCATAGGAACTTGGTGACTCAAATAAACATCTTCTTGTGGTCAACTGTGAGTCAGCACAGAAGGACAACAGGAAAGCCACAAACCCATGGCTGAAGTGCAGAGTAAATTTATTTTTGTTCTTTCTCCAACTGAGGGTATCCCCAAGCAATACTTGGGCAGAGGCAGACATGCGGGAGAAACACGGGCAGTTTTAATCTTGATCCATGCAAAAGGATACCTGGCCTGCAGCGTATGCCTGTTTATCAAGGGTTTATCACCACGCTGCAATCTTCACTGTTTTGATCTTCTCTTTACCAAGCAGGTAGCTCAAGTGTGCCTGGTAGAGTACTTCCAACTCTACCAAACACCTACATTATCTATACAGAGATGTTATACTTGTGAAACACACGGAGGACAAACAGCAGCAGCTATAATATATGTATTTTTCCACAGTGCTACTCTACAGATTTTGCGTATTCCTAGCTGCGAAATCGCTTGAACATATTTACAGTCCTCCTTGCAGGACTTCTGTCCTCATCACCTCTCCCCTCTTCCTTGCCAATCTTCCACTTTTAATCTCTTCCTCCCAGCATCAACCCATTTGGAAAATCTGGGTTTTGCTTGCTTCTCCAATGACCTGTGTGTTATGGGGGTGCGTTTTGAACTATCAAGTCAATTATTTAGGACAGTCTTTGGTTAATGAAATGGCATACAGGTATATACTGCATTTCCCTTATGCATATTTCATTTTCTTTAATCAAGAGATCAGTCTTTACTGTAACTATCCTTCTTCCTCTGCAGATCATTAAGAAGAAGTTTTATAAGATATATACTCTTCTATTTCCATTTCTGGCCTTTTAAATAGAGTTAAAATCTCCTGCATAGCTAAGGCTCTTGCTCATAAATAGACCTGTCTTTATCCTTAGACTTCCAAGGTTAGAAAGGTACATAAACAAAGATGGAAAACAGTGAATTGTGTGTTATAACTGGAAGAAAATAAGGATTAAATCAGTAAGAGCTTGCTTCGAAGTAGATGTGTCTGACTGCTTTGTGAACATCTTTTGTATGAACAATTGGAGTACATAATGAAAATGTGTACATATTGTACATTTTAGTTTGCACATAGTAACAGCATTTGATGGTGCTTAATGTATTCTACTTTGAGATAGGATATATTTTCACAGTTGCAAATAGGCATTTATCCAACGTTAACCAACGTTTTATTAATGTATGGATTCTTGCTGAGTCCAGGTGTGTACTAGAAATTAGAGGGCAAGAAGCAAATTTATCTTACTTTGAACTTGGCAGACATTCTAAGGTCAGAAAAAGGGTAGTAAGTTAACATTAACCAAAGCTATTTGGGAACCCATCTGATTCTGTTTCAGGGAATCCCAGAAATAATGATGTTTAGCTATAACCAACAGAAAAAAAAATAGTATTC